TGTCCTGGATTTTTATTGGCTAAAGCTACCAACTCTAATAGTAACGTAGGTCCAGGCAGGCTCTAAAATTCATTTTAAAGATGTGGGCAGTTTCCTTCAGTGGCATAGTATATTATTTCATGACTCTTGAGTGTTTCATCTAATTCTCTTTCCCCTCTGTAAGAACTTTGTGTTTAGAACAAACTTAGAGCTGTTTAGATATCAAATCTTTTAAATTATCTGCTTAATGACAGCGGGCATCTGTGAATATTTCTGTGGTGCCAGAATATTTCAGAATCTCTGAAGATGAGGCTTTAAGAGACGATTGACATCCAGAATGGCATTATACCTTAGATATCTTTAATTGTGGAGCTCATGGGCATGAATGAATGTATTCCAAATTGATGTAGTTTCTTCCCGCCTACTTGCTCCCCTTGTATCTATGTTGATGATACCGATATCCACCCTGTCATCCAAGCTAGATGCTTGGGAGCCTGGAAGATGAGGGAGTCTTCCCTTTTCTTTACCTTCCTCCCCACCAGCAATTAGTCCTGTGAATTTTCTCTCCTCCCCATATTTTTTTTTGGCCACTGCATTAGTGGAGACTCACCTTGCCTTTTTGTCTCTCCTCCAGCTCAATCCCTTCACACCTCCATAGTGGAGAACACAGCCGGGCTAGTCACAATGCCCTTTAACTTCTGTAGCTAGAGTGGACCAGACCATATTCCGTCAGTGCCGTTTGGTACTTATAATAAGTAGGGCCTCATAGAAAATCAGAACATGGATGGATCTTGCAGCTACATTCATCATTCTGCTTAGAGTCCTTTTTGTTAAGTTCTGCTCATCTCACCGAGTATCTAGATATCATATTGCTCACTCTCCTCCAGAAAATGCACCAAGCCACTTATTTCTGAGTCCTTTCAAGTTCCCTCATCCCCTTTAATTCTCATTAACTTCCGTTCCCACCATAGCAATATATTTTACCATAACCATGTAGTGACAGGCGCACAGACACACACACACACACACACACACATACCCATGCACACGCACACACACACACACACACACACACACCCATGCACATGTGTTAGGTGCATGTATGTGTTTTAGCCATCCTATATTGCTAAATGCTCTACATCGAATCATTTCAAGATATGGAATAATATGCTTTTCAGTCTAAAAAAACCTATTTTTTAAGGTGTTTTATTTTATTTTATTATTGGTTTCATGTATATAGTACATTCGCTATAGACATGTATATATTTTATGAAATGACCCTCCTGATTATTCTATCACCCATCTACAAACTGTAGTTATTGGCATATAGATTTAGTTACATCACTTCAGGTCAGACTTTTATCCTCATAAATTCATCTGGACTTTTGCCTCCTTGATTGAGCAAATGATAGACCTTGTGTTCTCAGACAGATGGTTTATAGTCTATCAAAATTTACATTTTTGTTTCTTTTTCAGGTAACAATGATAAGTTAGTTCTCTTTCTCCCTTTTTGTTTAAGGCAGTCTAGGGAAATGAGAGTTTGATAGCCAGAACCTGAGAACTAAATGTACTTTTTAATAGACTCAGAATTAATATACTGCAGTGGAATGCAAAAATTTTTTTTCTATCTTTACTCATTGAAACAAATATTATTGGATGGATTGTTTCAATGAGAAACTTGTCTCTAAACGTTTAGTCTTCACTATGTCCTAAATTCCTCAAGATTCTTTAATTGGTATTTTCTAACATTTGCTGAGTAAAATAATTTTTTACGGTGTCTTCAAATGCCACTTCCAAGATGCTATATCATTAGATTGCCAATGAGACACTTTTCAATGATAATTTTTTAGTTTCTCTCAAAGTTTTAATTTCTTCAATTTCGCATACCCTTTGACAGATGCTTCAGCCCTAGTATTTCTTTCTGCTCATTAGTGCTATATATATGCTTATTCTTATGACTTCCCAGCTGGCAAATATTACAATTTTATGTTCTCTGGAAAGTATTAACATTTGGAAGGTTAAGTTTAATTGTAGGTCACTAGTATGAAAATGGGGACACACCAGGAATTACTGAAGTGGCAGATGCCATGGAATCATTGAATCTTGACATCAGAAAGGTTCAGTAGCCGGCTGAGTCTCTCAGATTAAGAAAAAGCTCACCTGCATACGCATGGACACACACACGCACATATACACACATATTTAAAAGTCAAAGGAGTACTTGAAGTGTATAGTAGCAAAGGAGAAGGTAGAAAAATGAAAAGAAATATTCACCTCAGGAGATATTGTGGAGACAAAGACAGTCTCTGTCCCACCACCAATTATGAAGAAAGCACGCCCTGGGGTTGAAGACACCACCCTGGAGCTGACTCTCTCCCTGGTGCAGCAGCCCTGGCCTTTGTCTGCAGAGATGCCTCAGCCCCTTTGAGACACCTCAAAAACAGCCCTAGAAATTTGAGAGAATGCGAGGGTTGTTAACATCAGATGAGGTCTCAGCCTAATTTGTTAAACAGGCAAATAATTCACAGAGCACAGTGCTAACTCTAATTATAACTAAGAATAAGTGATCTGTGACAGAGCCCACTCATGGGTGAGGCACCTTGTGTGGCCTGAAGGACATGTTGATGGAGATTGGATCTGGGAATTGTCTGCATATGGTTTTAATGGAATCTTTGGTGTGAATGGAGTAATCCAAGGCCAGAGTGAAGGGTGAGAAGAAAAGCATTATTTAACAGGTGGATGAAGGAAAGAAACACCATTATATGGGATGTGAGGGAAGAAGGGACCCCCCCTTTCTAATATTGCAACCTGCCTCCCCACATCCATTCCCGACATCCCTTAACTTAAATTTTCTATTTTCTATAGCACTTATCACCTACTAAAATACCACATAATTTACTTTTTAATCGTTTTGTTGTGGTTTGCTTCCTATCTTCCCTGCTCCCTATTTCTTACTAGAAGATAAACTCCATGAGGACAGGTGATTTGTCTGTTGGTATATTCTAAGCAGGTAGATGGTACCTGATACTTTGCAGGTGCTTAATAAAAATGTATTGAATGAATGAAAAATATAGCAATGTATCAAGAAGTAAGTCATAGTTATGGGCGTCAAAAACTGCAAGAAAGTAAAGCAAATGAAGTAATTAGTAATCCGTTGGTGTTCTAAGGAGGAGCCATTTTAATGGTTTGATGAGAATAGATGCTGGACTGCACTGGGGTTAAAGAATGAATCATAGGTGGGGAAGTGGAAGGGGCCAACAGATATTACTCTTTCAAGAGACACTGCTTAGAAATGAAGAAAAGAATGGTACTTACAGGAGGATTTGGAGCCAAGGGAGGGTTTGACATTATATGTTATTGTTGTTTTTAATGGATGAGACTCACAGGGCAATGACAGAAAGTGATCTGGTCCTTGGACATGGTGAAGGATCAGGTTTACATTATGAGAAGGTCACTTTAGTGGCCGTTGAGTGTGTGGCCTGGAGCAAGAGAGAGTGGGCAACGGCCCAGCTGGGCCGCTGCTGCAGAAAGGCTGGGAACACTTTTGGCCCTAGCATTGCCCTGGGTCTCTTTTCCACTGGCTGTAAGTGACCACCATTTCACCTCCTTCACCCAACTCTTCCGCTTTACCTCTGGAATCCATCTGAGATCAGCAGTCTCCTCTTAATCTCTTCTCTGAAACTTTACCTCCTGGCTTTAGGTAAAACCTGGCTGTCCCCTGCAGGTACTATCTCTCCCACTGCCCCTCCAGTTCTCTCACCCCCGGGGCCTGGAGGGGTTTTATATCCTCCCTTTCTCCCACATCTTCAACCTCTCCTTCTCTGCTGGATTCTTTACATGGACATTCAACCGTCTTACGGAATTAGAATATGAAAGAAAACCCGAGTTCCCATATTCCTATTTGGCTCCTTCCCAGATACTTCCCTATCTCTGTACTTCTTTATAGCCAAAGTTTTCGTGAGTTATTTTTATTTGATAAACTGTCAAATAAAAAAAAATAACATGTCCAGACTTAGATAAGCAGAGACTTTATTGGAAAGAATTATTGCAAGAGGAGGAAGACGATTGGGAAAGGCTCCTCGCCCCACTCCCACCCCAAGATTTAAAAGCATCTCAAAGGTCAGGCTGAAAAGGGCTTTTTCTTTATAGGGTGGAGTGAACAAAGCCAGAAAGAACTGTGTGGGCAAGTGGCATGAAGGGGATGAATGGGCGGAGGTTGAGGGTATGATGTACCCTGAAGCCAGCCTGTTCTCAGGAGGGGCTGATAAGGGAGTGCAGTACACTGGCTCAGGCTATGGGTCGACCCAAGTTTAGGCTGTTTCGGTCACCCTCATGGCTCTCTATACTGACCACCCCCAATATACTGTGTCCAGCCCAGAGTTCTTGTGAACCCTAGATCTAGACATTCAATCTAAAATGTCTCTGACATATCCCCATCGTTGTGAATTTTTCTTTTCTTTTTTTCTTTGAATACTAACTTCCTGGCACTGTAAGATGCTCCAGGCTCATATAGAATATTTCTTGCCCCAGTCCTAGAATCAGTCATTTCTCCAAGGACTCCTGATTCTTTTTATTGGAGAGTAGTGTCAAAAACCAAGCTCTGGTGCTAAGTGTGCTTATTGCTCCTGGAGTGTAATCATTTCTAGGTCTTTTCAGCTGACAGAGCAATGAGATATATATGCATACTAACCTGGGTATATATACATATCTGTAAATATTTCTATATGTAACCGTCCATAGCAATATTAAGCTAAACATTGGTTCATTCTATTGTCTCTAACTCTAACCTATTGCCCCATCATAGAGCACCCCAACGCCTTTCCTTGCTTATCTGTAACCTTTCAGTCCAACAGTGAGAACCTGGCTTTTGCCATCTGCCATCCATTTACTTAATTGTTCAATTCCAGTATGCATGAGTAGCAGTAGCAGAATCATTAATCTTTACCACTATGGGAAACAATTTTATAAATTAGATTATAGTCCTCATGTATAGTAGCTTTTGCCTGTCATCCTACTGCCTCCAAAATATGGACTGCTTCACACATTTGCATGTCATCCTTGTGCAGAGGTCATGCTAATCTGCACTGTATCATTCTAATTTTAGTATATGTGCTGACAAAATGAGCACAATAATCAAACTTTTAACAAAGATGATATAACCACTGCCATCTCACTTTATTCACTTTGTTACATTTAAAGAAGAGAAATCCCCCTCCTATCTTTTATAAATCATCATATTATTGAATTAATATGTTATTCATAAATTAGCAAGATGCTCCTATTTTAAAATGTTTTGAAAAACATCTAGAGTCAGTATTTTCCTTGTTTACCTCATTTAGTGTGTAAATAAGAATAGTTGGCAATTAGCAACTTAATGGTTTATAAATCAGTGAATGACTACTGATGGAATTTTAAAATTTAAACAGTTTGCTTTAAAAAAAATTAAAAATTAGGTTAAGCATTCTCTTTTCCTCATCTTTCTTCTACTTTATTTTCACCATCAATTTGTAAATGTATCTCTATAAAGTTGAGGTAGTGCTTAGATAAATTTTAGTCTTGCCTCCTCTCAAAGGCTGCTGATTTTGAATTTTGTTTACTTATTTATTGAAATATTGTATTGAATTATGTTTATTCATTGAAATATTTATAGTAAATATGCATTGTTTCTTGCCATCTACCTAATTCTATACTACTTCTGGCTTCCTAAAAAATTATTTTGAACTTCATTGACATATTATTGACAATTAAAAATTATATGTATTTGAGGTGTTTGGTGCGATGTTTTGATATACACATGAATTGTGAAATAATTACAACAATCAAGCTAATTAACATATTCATTATTTCACATAATTACCTTTTCTTTTTTGTGATGAGAATGCTTGTGATGTACTCTCAGTAAATTTCAGCTATACAATGCATTATTATTAACTGTAGTTACCATGTACATTAAGTCAGCATAATAAGTAAAAAATATCTTTTTATTAAAGTATAACAAACACATTTAATTATAGATGTTTTAATTTTTCCCAGAAGACCCCTAATTTTGTTAAATATTAGATAAATTATGCTCTATTTTACGATTAAAAGATTTTAGATGACCAAATTATATAGGAATAACCATTTTTTAAAATACAGAATTATTTTTTGGTTTGAGAAAAATAAAATCCATTTTAAATTGTGTGTGTGTGTGTGTGTATGTGTGTGTGTATACTCTTTAACTTCTTTCTCTTAAATGAGACATTGCTAGCTGTAACTCTATTTCTCTAAATATGGTTGAGCTCATTCTAAGTGGAGAAATTGGAAATTGTTACAAGGCAGCAAATTATTTTACAATGGTTTTATAAACAATAGTCTTTAAAAAATAACATATGATATTTGCAAGTTGTGATTGAATCAATGACTTCGGCCTAATTCCTCAAAGGCTAGATTCTTTTCGAAAATGAAAAACACATAAGTAGGTTTCTCATAGAAACCGTATTAATTTTCTAGGGCTGCCATGAAAAATTCCACAGACTGGGTGGCTTAAAAACAGAAATTTATTTTCTCACAGTTCTCAAGGCTGAATGTCCAGGACCAAGATGTTGGCAGATGTGGTTTCCTTTGGGGCTTCTGTGCTCGGCTTGCAGATGGCCGTCTTCTTGCTGCCTCTTCACGTGGTGGTTCTGTATACACACACTCCAGGTGTCTTTTCCTCTTGTACAATACCTGTCGTATCTGATTAGGGCCCACTCTAACGGAGCATCGTAATTTAATCATTCCTTACAGCGCTTTCCCTAAATATGGTTACATTCTGAGGTCCTGGGCATTGAGACTTCAACACATGAAATACGCAAGGACACATCAGATTCTCTTTTATTGTTGTCATTGCTTTTAGTTGTAATTATGAAACTCTTAGCTTAGAGGATAATTGAAGTTTGATCCCAGAAGCAGAGTGATAGCTAGCAACTGTGTTGTCCTTTATTTCTTTTTGTTATTCTCTTCCGGAGAAGTGATTCTGTCATTTTCAAGGATATGTGGACAGCTTTGAGAATCTGATGAAAGTTATATATCAGTTTACTATGACAAATCACCTCAAAACTTAGTGGCTTAATACAGTAATCTTTTTGTTTTTCTCAGTACACTGTGTCCTGGCAAATTGGGCTGGTCCCAGCTGGGATTGTTGATCAGAGTGTTGGCTGGGCTCACCTGTGCATTGTGGTCCTTGGTTTTCAGTGGCTTCACTCACAGGTCTGGTGGTTGGCTGCCTGTGGATAGAGGTGGCAGCAGTAATTGGGCCATACATTCCTCACCATCCAGCAGGCAAGCCTGGACGCAGTCACTGGTTGTGTTCCTAGGGTTTTCAAGAGCAGAAAGAGAGAGTGAGCCCCAAAGAGTAAGTGCTTTCCACGTCTCTCCTGATATCACTCTTGCTGATGTCTCCTTGGCCAAAGTAAGTCATGTGGTCAAACCCAGATTCCAGAGGTAATTGAGCCCATTTCTTGATGTGAGGTGCTGCAAAGCCACATTGCAAAAGGGCACGCCTGTGGGAAGGAGAGGAATTTATGGTCTCTAGTGAGAAGGAAGAGGAGATGTAATGATGAGGTAAATAAACCGAGTAAACTCTGTTTTTACAAGTGTTTCTCCCCACACTGAGTAATTATCTTCTGAGAAAAAATTAAGGCTGTCCTCCAAAGAAGTACAGATGCTGGCTATTGAAAGTGAGCACACCAGGAACAGGAAATGGAATAGAGATCTGCAGGGCTCTGGGTGGAATACACAGAGGATCTGCTTCACGAGCTTTGGGAAATATGAAACAAATCTTCTGAGTAGATGAAAACATGAGAAATTTATCTGTGGAGAGCCAAGGACATTCGTTTTCTCTTCAGGATATTATCTCTTGTGAAGGCGCTTTTTAAATGAGAGGAGTCGATTGGGTTTCAACAGGGGACATGTTTTTTTTTAAACTTAGGACCAGAAGAGCCCTGACAATTCCACCCCAAATTCTTTCATTGCCATATTATCGAACTCAGCACTAAGTATGAAAATGCTTAACTGAGAGATCTAGAAATCACCTTCCTCTGCAAATACATAATGTATATCATAAACCAGGAATTCTTCATAATCTCATAAGAATAGCAACTCCTTGGTTATTCTTAACAGTCAATACCAATTACACCTACTCTCTTCTGTTACTGATTCATCAGTTCTTTTTATATCTTACTGTCCAAGTTAACCATTAATTCCCATGTCATTAATTTAGAGGCCTGAGTACAGTCCTAACTACACACCATAGAAATGAATTCTCAAACTACTGAATTTGGGGTGTGTGGATGTTGGGTGTTTTTACACTTTGCTGAGTTTATTAGTCCAAAATATTAAAGGTGACGACACTCTCCTCCACATTAAAAAACAAAAACAGAAAAACATTTCAAACTTTTCCCTCACAGTTAAACTGCATTGAAAGGCTGACAACGTTCTTGTCCAGACTGGAAATACAATTTCAGGGAAGACGAACATGACGGATATTGTTATTTCTTGCAACATATTTAAATATGATCTTTCCCATACTTTATAAGTTAGAGTTGAATAGCAAAAGAAAGTACTGTATCAGTCAGTTTTTCTCATAATAATGCTGCATAAGAAACCACCACAAAATCTCAGTGACATTCAACAATAGGCATTTATTGTCAGACTCACAGGTCTCTGTGTCTTCTGGACTGGTTCTCCTTTAGGCTGCAGGTTTATGGGTTGTATGAGGGCAGATCTGCCTTTTGTGTCTTATTATGGGCCCCAGCTGGAGGAGGGGCAGCCCCTCCCTGCCACATGTTCTTCTGTTGGTAATGGACAGATGCTCATAGAGGAACAAATGGAAGCACTCAAAACCTATTAAGACCGAAGCCCTGATCTTGTGCACTGTCCATTCCACATTCCATTGGCCAAAGCAAGAAAACACAATCACAACCAAACGCAGGAGTGGGCAACAAATACTGCCCACTAAGAGGCAAGAGTAAGATGTCCAAAATCTCCAGAATAGTAAAGAATTCGGACCAACGATTCCATCCAGCACTGAGTGGTGGTTGTTTTTGGAAATAAAAACTTCCTGGGACACTTAATAGACAATGTTTAATATGGCTCATTGATATTTAAGGATTAAACTGGAATTACTTAATTATGTTTACTTGAAATAGTGATAAAGAGTTTCAAATTTTTTTCTTACATCTCTAACTATAGCTTGAAAATTGGACTTTTTTGTGTGTGTGCTGAGCTCTTCTCTTCTTTTTAGTGTCTGTTAACATCCTTATTTTTATTCAGCCCCGAGGTACTGAAGAGTGAGCCTTATGGGGAGAAGGCTGACGTCTGGGCAGCAGGCTGCATTCTTTATCAGATGGCCACTCTGAATCCTCCCTTCTATAGCACCAACATGCTCTCCCTGGCTACAAAAGTAAGCGACCTTGGGATCCAAACGGTCTTGCTAAAAACGCCATTCTTTTTCTTAAATAGAACTTTTGTGATTTTAATAAAACTGTCAATGAAAGGCAGGCATTATTTTATTAACTGCATGATCCAGTTTATTTATTTTTTTTGCCTTTTTCTAAACCTACATCATGTGCTATGGCACATATTCTCCTATAATTGTCTTCATTTATCGTGGAAAGTTATAAAATTTAATTATCGTTAAAAATAAATATAACAAATTACTTTTGGTCTGTTATTCTTAATTGCTACTTGGACTAGCCACAATACAGCATATTGTATTATCTTACACAGGTTAATGTTAGCCCAGCTTGAAAAATCCAATGCCAAGTCCAAGAACTGTTTAATTCATGTTAGGTTATTATTCATTGGGATGATTTTGTTTCTGATTCAAATTCGTGCACAAAGTTACAATGCTTATAGTGTAACTCTCATGTTGTGGCCAAGTAGTGCTGCTCAAAGATATCAATGGCCCCTTTACTTCCATCAATCCACTCTCATTTGCTTTGCAGATAGTGGAGGCGGTATATGAACCTGTGCCCGAAGGCATCTACTCTGAAAAAGTGACAGATACCATCAGCAGGTAATTAGTCTCACAACTTTGAACATACCGAGATTATTAAGGAATACCTCACATCTACAAAAATCCATTATGTAAATATTCATGAAGGGAAAGGGCTCCAAAATAATCCAAACCTAGAAAATGTTTGCGCATCACCAGTAATAGTGACCGTTTGGAAGCCAGGAAATGTCCAAGAGGAAGTAGTACTTGAAATATTATGCAACTATTAGAATGATGGTTATGAAGGCTCTGTATCAACCTGTAAAAGACATCTGATATGAAAATTAATACAACAGGATGTAAAGCTGTTTATAACTATGACGAAAACCTTAAAAATATGCATGAATGTGGAAAAAGGCTGGACAAGAACATATGAAACTGAACAAGGTCATGTTCGATGATAAAATTGTAAGCATTTTTCATTTCTATTTTTAAATCCGTAGTTATGTTGTATGATAAATTTTTAAAGAAAGTCAGAAAAGCATTTTCTAGCTACATATTAGGCGTTTCATGAAAGTCATCATCCCCTCACAAAGTTCTGACCCCGCAGGTCTTGTCCTGGCTGACTTCTCACCCCACGCCCTCCCAACCTTCCCTCTTTTCCCTCCCTGCAGGCACACGAGTTCCCCGTTCATCTTGGCACGCACCTCCCTCTGGACCTTTGTTCTGCCTTATCAAGCCCATGGCACCCATCACCCTAACATGTCATACATGTGCACACAGATTTGTTTATTGTCTCTCTCTTCTCACCAGAATGAAAACTCCACAAGAGCAGAGGATTCTCCCATTTAGCTCATAGCTGCTCAGTGCCCGGAGTAGTGCCTGACATGAAGCAGACCCTTAGCAGATACTGGTTGTATGAATGAATGACTCTCATTTATCTGACTGATTGTTGTTTCTGGACCATTTTATGCACTTAAGTTGGCCCAACATTACTTCTCTGCCCCCATTGAGCTGAGTCAAATCCCCATTATTATAATGGAAACCCTAGAGTCACCCCAGGTAGACTCTTTCTCCATCCCCCTGCCTAGTTCCCTTAAAACTCAGTTCTGTATTTGTCCTAGCACCGAGCACCCTCTCTGATGGGTTGGTATA